AACGCAGTCGTTATAAACTATTATACTGTTGTGAGGAGTATGTTGTAAACTATTATACTGTTGTGAGGAGTATGTTGTAAACTATTATACTGTTGTGAGGAGTATGTTGTAAACTGCTATACTGTTGTGAGGAGTATGTTGTAAACTATTATACTGTTGTGAGGAGTATGTTGTAAACTGCTATACTGCTGTGAGGAGTATGTTGTAAACTGCTATACTGTTGTGAGGAGTATGTTGTAAACTATTATACTGTTGTGAGGAGTATGTTGTAAACTGCTATACTGCTGTGAGGAGTATGTTGTAAACTGCTATACTGTTGTGAGGAGTATGTTGTAAACTGCTATACTGTTGTGAGGAGTATGTTGTAAACTGCTATACTGCTGTGAGGAGTATGTTGTAAACTGCTATACTGTTGTGAGGAGTATGTTGTAAACTGCTATACTGTTGTGAGGAGTATGTTGTTAACTATTATACTGTTGTGAGGAGTATGTTGTAAGCTGCTATACTGCTGTGAGGAGTATTTTGTAAACTATTATACTGTTGTGAGGAGTATGTTGTAAACTGCTATACTGCTGTGAGGAGTATGTTGTAAACTGCTATACTGTTGTGAGGAGTATGTTGTAAACTGCTATACTGTTGTGAGGAGTATGTTGTTAACTATTATACTGTTGTGAGGAGTATGTTGTAAGCTGCTATACTGCTGTGAGGAGTATTTTGTAAACTATTATACTGTTGTGAGGAGTATGTTGTAAACTGCTATACTGCTGTGAGGAATATGTTGTAAACTGCTATACTGTTGTGAGGAGTATGTTGTAAGCTGCTATACTGTTGTGAGGAGTATGTTGTAAACTATTATACTGTTGTGAGGAGTATGTTGTAAACTGCTATACTGCTGTGAGGAGTATTTTGTAAACTATTATCCTGTTGTGAGGAGTATGTTGTAAATTGCTATACTGCTGAGAGGAGTATGTTGTAAACTGCTATACTGTTGTGAAGAGTATGTTGTAAACTGCTATACTGTTGTGAAGAGTATGTTGTAAACTGCTATACTGTTGTGAAGAGTATGTTGTAAGTCGTTAGTGTTGTGAAGCGCATGTTACATCATCAGGGTCTTTGATACTCTTGATTTCCTCATTATCCTCCTCAATAACAACAACAGTGACATCTTCTTCACTTTCCTCTCGATCATCTTCATCCTCATGAGCAGGGGTATCCTCCCATGGACGCAGACGAGCAGCAGTGAGACCACATGCCAGAACAACCAACACTGCGCACAATGCAATACCGAATTTGGTGCTGGCCAGAGCGAACATCCTGAACAGAACTTCGAAGTTCCGAACAGGGTTCTTCACCCGTTTCGATCCGAATTGCATCCCAGTTACTACACAGTGTAAACTATGAGATCGCGCCTTCATGCTCAAAATCTATTTAACTGACCGTGACGAGTCGTTCGAGGTCTTAGTCAAGCAAGACAGGATGTAGCAAGAGAGGCGCTGCCACGTGAATCTTCAAACCCGCCGAATAGAATTTTCGCCAATCCCGAGCGCCAAGGTCCATGCAATATCCAAGCGTGATGAATACATCACTCCACCGCATTTTAAAAACGGGGTATCTCATGATGAGGTGCGATATAAGTGCACACGGCGGAGAAGTTTTCCCACGACTCACCCATCATCGTCACCTCCACCATGAAGACTAGTTCCTTTTCGGTTATCAGCAGCGGGCATCGACCACCATAGTGTTTCCTCTTTAACAACGACCATCGACTCAGTAAGCTGACCAGCCTGATACAGGTTAGTGCGGAGCAAAGAGATCTTTCATGCCGACCTCGATGCCGAACCCTTGAATTAGGTCATCCGTGAGGAACGTGACATTTTCCGCTTCGATAGAGGTAGTGAGAACGTCTATGAGTGCGACCGAGAAGATCAGTGCTCTCGGTGACTTGAACGTTCCCTGAAGGCTGTCGAGTCAGCCCTAGCTCAGCACCATTTCTTTCAAAACGGACGAGCCGTCGGTACATGTGCCAGATGACGACTCTCATCGACGTTCAGGGAAGAGGAGCTCAGCTGCTTACAGTGTATATCACTTCGACAGAGCTGGGCTGAATCCTCTTCTCACGCACCAATGAGGCACGGAGGAGCTCCTGTAGTCGACCTGTGTCGAGGGCATCGTCCAAGAGACCCAACACGGCGTCTGATGCCACGATCCATTCCACTGTTAGAAGGGCTGCGCCTACTGACTTTGCAAAGGAGAGATCCTAAAAGAAGGAATGAGGATGCAACGATGATTCATCGACAATCCATGGCCATCTCAGTGGCGAGACGAGAAAGGGTTCACAAAGAAAGACTCCAGATAGAGCTGTACGATATGTTGCTATCGAGTATGTAAGCATCGGTCTATTGAGAACTGATTGCTAGTAACAGTTCAATAATCTTTCGAGGAAAAATCTCACCACAATTCTTCATGGGTTCCCATTAGTAAATATCCTGATGTGAGGACTGGTGCCATGCTAATCTTTCGTTCGCGAGCCAAGACAAAAAATTCAATCCAAATCTATTTTATCACTTGCTGGTCAAAAACTTCCAATAATTTTATGCGAGAGATTGAATGTGGATACTCGTCTAGTTGAACCACGGCTACCGCTCGCCGAACACATCCAGGCATGACGCCAACCAAACGAGCTCCTTGATTGCAGATTAGCATTCCTCTCGAGAACTGCTCGTCAAGACACGGCGGATAGAGGCAAGCCTCTCCGACAGGCACGCGGCGGCCAATGCCCGGGCATCGACAGCTCTGCGTGGCGGAAAATATCTCCAACGACTTGATATCAGCGAGGTCCAGCCGAATCTTAGAGAGGTTACTGCCGCCACGTTGAACGGGCGTAGACAGTTACTTTATCGTCAGCCCGTAGGAGCTTGCTCCCTGGTTCAATCCACACTCCTCCATCACGCCGAGCTCTTACGACCACCATTCCGTTCCAGTCGACATCTTGATGCTCGACTACTCGCTTTGTTAGTATTATCAAGGCACCACTGAAATAGATACACAACAGAGCATTACAAAAAGTAATTCCGTGCATATATCGACCTTTACGCTCAGTCCAAACCTATGTTGTGGAGACAACTGTGGTGCTGGTAGTGTCTTTTTAACTCAGCGTCGTACTAGAGCATATTTCTATTGCTGGTTCTATATATCTATATCACTGCTATCAGAAGGAGTTCGAAGGTTGTCGTATCATATACATAGTGCTACTAGCTGCACTCATGTATCCACCGTGACTGTGCGCAGAGAGATTACCTCACGGTGCGAGTATCTCTCAATGGATCATTCATGGCAAGGCGGTTACATCCCGGCCCTGCGCAGGTTATGGCAACGTCTGATATGCCAAGTCGAGTGCAGTAGTCCCTGAGTGATTCGCTAACA